GCTGCTCAGTCATTATTGTCTCAAGGAGAATGGAAGAGGGAAGGGAAGGGGGCGGGGGAAGTGGGAGGGGAGGAAGGGGGAGGTGGAATGTGTCTGCAGGAAGGAGGTGTGTGGGAGGGATGTGGGAGGTGGGGGGGGGGGAAGACGTCTTAGAGAATCTGATCTCATGAGGATACTCTGATTCCCAGCCTCTCTGATCTCACTGGTCCTCAGTTCCACGCTCCACTAAGGTCCTAAAGTCTATACCACCAGAAGGTCATTAACAACCTTACTGCGGCCTGCCGGATGGCACCCTATTGCCTCCTCTTGCAGTGGCCCATTTCTCTTCACATTTGGTTTCCATTTACACAGCTGGAGAAAATACTGCTTCCTTTTTGTCCTCTGAGAGAGAGAGAGAGAGAGAGAGAGAGAGAGAGAGAGAGAGAGAGAGAGAGAGAGAGAGAGAGAGAGAGAGAGAGAGAGAGAGAGAGAGAGAGAGTCGTTTAATTTACGAGTAAAAATCACTAGGATTATGAACTGCGATTTCTCGACTTTTTCCTCTCTCTCTCTCTCTCTCTCTCTCTCTCTCTCTCTCCCATGTACAATACCGGTTGGGGCCCAACCTGTGGCACCGGGAAATACATTTCAGTGGGTTTATTAACAACGGCGCTATTACCAACAGCAAAGTTGGGTCAAGAATTATATTGGATTTTCAGTTCAATGACTGTTTAACAATTTCCTCGTTCGCAGCGGAATTAAAATCCCCCGCACGGGCGATTAATATATATATATATATGTCGTACCTAGTAGCCAGAACGCACTTCGCAGCCTACTATGCAAGGCCCAATTTGCCTAATAAGCCAAGTTTTCATGAATTAATTGTTTTTCGACTACATAACCTACCTAACCTAACCTAACCTAACTTTTTCGGCTACCTAACCTAACCTAACCTATAAAGATAGGTTAGGTTAGGTTAGGTAGGGTTGGTTAGGTTCGGTCATATAACTACGTTAATTTTAACTCCCCAAAAAAAAAATTTGACCTCATACATAATGAAATGGGTACCTTTATCATTTCATAAGAAAAAAATTAGAGAAAATATAATAATTTAGGAAAACTTGGCTTATTAGGCAAATCGGGCCTTGCATAGTAGGCCGAGAAGTGCATTCTGGCTACTAGGTACGACATATATATATATATATATATATATATATATATATATATATATATATATATATATATATATATATATATATATATATCAGCCCGCAGGCCCACATATCCACCACAGCCTGGTTGGTCCGGCACTTCTTGCTAATCTTTTTCTTGAAGACTTCCACTTTTGTTCTATGATTATACACATCATATGACAATGTTTACACACATGTAAAAATATTTACACGTAAAACTAAAACTAGATTTATACACAGAATAAAACTGTTTATTACAACAACAGGAATGAAATAAATGCTTGTAACTCCATGAACATCAAAATTGCTTACCATTAAAAAAAAAAAGATGGAGGGGGGGGGGGGGGGGGGGGTTAAGTCCAAAGTTCTCTCTGACCTAGAATACCCGCGAAAACTTTTCCCGCGCAAATAAATTCCTGGGTGTTTTTCGCCCCCCATCCCCTCACACGCCCAGCAGGTACCCCTACAAGTGAATCAGGGTCCCAATCAGGTACCCAATCCACACCCCCTTAAACCCAGAAGATACTAGAGTAGTTATGATATAGTTAGAAGGAGTCCAAACGCTTCCTTAACTGCAGAAAGAATTTCCCCTCCCAGGAGAACAGCTTCCCCTCCCAGGAGAACAGCTTCCCCTGTCCCAGGGAAACAATTTCCCCTCCCAGGGGAACAAATTCCCCTCCCACCTCCCTTCCCAAGACGCGTGACTCAGGAGGAGACTCAGGCACCTCCACCCACATACTCACGACTTTTACTCACGGAGCCACAAGACCAGGACTGGTCCGAGAATGTCTATACCGCTTCCTGGCACTCCCTGGCACTCCATCCCTTCCTCGTTTGTTGTGGCATCGTCCTCAACAGTGCCAGGGTTTGTTTGGCACCGCGTCACCAGTTGGCAACCTCGGCGATCTTCATTTGTTTGAACTTTTGTGGCAAGTGATAACACTGCAGGTGGTGACGTCACTGCTGGCGTCTTATCAACTGTGGTGGCACTGGAGGTCGTTAGTGTGCACTGGTCCTGGTGATTAGGATGGTCGCACTCAAACTTAGGTTCTGAGGTTAATCTTAAGATCTCGAGGTTAATCTTAAGAGCTCGAGGTTAATCTTAAGAGCTCGAGGTCAACCTTAGGCTCTGCAGAATAGAGCCAATGAGGAGCAGAAGTGCCATACTTTGCGGTTACCTTGCGTTGATTTCGGGGTTCAACGTCCCCCCGCGGCCCAGTCCCTGACCAGGCCTCGTGGTTGCTGGACTGGTCAACCAGCCTGTTGGACGCGACTGCTCGCAGCCTGGCGACCAGCTTTTGCTGGTGCAAAAGTGGAATTTTTCAAGAAAAAAATCAGTTTCCCCAGCAAGACGTGCGCCGGACCAACCAGGCTGTGGTGGATATGTGGATACCTGCAGGCCGCTCCAAGCAACAACAGCCTGGTGGACCAAGCTCTCACAAGTCCAGCCTGGCCTCGGGCCGGACTTTGGGGGGAGTAGAAGACCTCCCAGAACCCCATCAACCAGGTCCAATAGGCTCTATGGTCAACTTTTCAAACCAATACACTTACGGAAAATCGAGGAATGAACACTTTGGCAATATAATTCTTGCAATATATATCCACGAGTAACAGATCTTAAATGAACAGGTTGTTCCACTAGATGATTGTGGGCGTCTTAAAGTACACAGACTCACGTGAGTCACACACACACACACACACAGACTCACGTGAGTCACACACACACACACACAGACTCACGTGAGTCACACACACACACACACACACACACGACAATGAGTATTTACCACTCCAGACACCAGTTGGGAGAGAGAGGAGGGAGTGGGGTTATGGGGGGTGATGGGGCAGCACCCGTGGTGTGTGGGGGGGGGGGGGAAGAGGTTGGTCGTGTTTTTAAACTGGTGCTGAGTTTGGCAGCAGGACAAGGCACCTGTGTACAACACCTATGGACCTACACACCACCTTTTCGTTACACCTTCTCACCCCTATGTGTACCCACTGGTACACAGATACACATATACACTCCCTACACCACCACAACACTGGCACTGGCACTCTGAGGGCAAGTGTCTCGCTCAGGAGAGTGCGACTAACTGAGTGCCTTGGGGCACTGGCTGTGGGGTATGGGCACAGAACCCAGCCAACACACACACACGCGCGCGCACAGGGGCCTCGCGGCTGAGTGGACAGCGCTCTGGGCTCGTAGTCCTAAGGATTTGAACCCCGGCAGAGGCGGAAACAAATGCGCCGTGAGGCATCAAACCGGAGGGGACGGAACCTTGCGGCACAGGGCAACAGAATCACATTTACGAATATATGTATGAGGACCCTTTTTTTTTTTAGGCTGAATTGTATAACTGTCACTACAACAACAACAACACAGTTACCAGACACGACGTACGTGCAGACACACACACACACACACACACACACACACACACACACACACACACACACACACACACACACACACACACACACACACACACACACAAACACACACACACACACAAGCTCATTCATTATGTATTTTTTTGTCTTAACTATGTCTCTGCTTCTCTCTCTCCCCTCTCTCTCTCTCTCCCCTCTCTCTCTCCCCTCTCACTCTCTCTCCCCTCTCTCTCTCTCCCCTCTCTCTCTCTCCCTCTCTCTCTCTCCCCTCTCACTCTCTCCCCCCCTCCTCTCTCTCTCTCCCCCTCTCACTCTCTCCCCTCTCACTCTCTCTCCCCTCTCTCTCTCTCCCCTCTCTCTCTCCCCTCTCTCTCTCCCCTCTCTCTCTCTCCACTCTCACTCTCACTCCCCTCTCTCTCTCTCCTCTCACTCTCTCTCCCCTCTCTCTCTCTCCCCTCTCACTCTCTCTCCCCTCTCACTCTCTCCCCTCTCTCTCTCCCCTCTCTCTCTCCCTCTCCCAGCAAGGAGCTAAAACAGGCCATTCATGAGAGCTTCCCAGCGAACCTTAGTAGAGCAAAAAAAGCGTCCTGGCCTCACCTAAATATACACACTGTATGACCAAGAATACATCATACATATGTTCTGTATGACCAAGAATACATCATACATATGTTCTGTATGACCAAGAATACATCATACATATGTTCTGTATGACCAAGAATACATCATACATATGTTCTGTATGACCAAGAATACATCATACATGTGTTCTGTATGACCAAGAATACATCATACATATGTTCTGTATGACCAAGAATACATCATACATATGTTCTGTATGACCAAAAATACATCATACATATGTTCTGTATGACCAAGAATACATCATACATATGTTCTGTATGACAAAAAATACATCATACATATGTTCTGTATGACCAAAAATACATCATACATATGTTCTGTATGACCAAAAATACATCATACATATGTTCTGTATGACCAAAAATACATCATACATATGTTCTGTATGACCAAAAATACATCATACATATGTTCTGTATGACCAAAAATACATCATACATGTGTTCTGTATGACCAAAATACATCATACATGTGTTCTGTATGACCAAAAATACATCATACATATGTTCTGTATAACTAACAGTACATCATACATATGTTCTGTATAACTAAGAATACATCATACATATGTTCTGTATGACCAAAAATACATCATACATATGTTCTATATGACCAAAAATACATCATACATGTGTTCTGTATGACCAAAAATACATCATACACACGTTCTGTATGACCAAAAATACATCATAAACAAGTACTGTATAACTAGAATGAAATCATACATAACTATTGTATATAAAAAATACAACAATACATTCAAGAATGTATAAGAATATTGTAGTAGAGGAGACCATGGCACCAGTAGTAGAGACCATGGCACCAGTAGTAGAGACCATGGCACCAGTAGAGGAGACCAAGGCACCAGTAGAGGAGACCATGGCACCAGTAGAGGAGACCATGGCACCAGTAGAGGAGACCATGGCACCAGTGGAGGAGACCATGGCACCAGTAGAGACCATGGCACCAGTAGAGGAGACCATGGCACCAGTAGAGGAGACCAAGGCACCAGTAGAGACCATGGCACCAGTAGAGGAGACCATGGCACCAGTAGAGGAGACCAAGGCACCAGTAGAGACCATGGCACCAGTAGAGGAGACCATGTCACCAGTAGAGGAGACCATGGCACCAGTAGAGGAGACCAAGGCACCAGTAGAGGAGACCAAGGCACCAGTAGAGGAGACCAAGGCACCAGTAGAGGAGACCATGGCACCAGTAGAGGAGACCATGGCACCAGTAGAGGAGACCAAGGCACCAGTAGAGGAGACCAAGGCATCAGTAGAGCAGACCAAGGCACCAGTAGAGACCATGGCACCAGTAGAGGAGACCATGGCACCAGTAGAGGAGACCAAGGCACCAGTAGAGACCATGACACCAGTAGAGGAGACCATGGCACCAGTAGAGGAGACCATGGCACCAGTAGAGGAGACCAAGGCACCAGTAGAGGAGACCAAGGCACCAGTAGAGGAGACCAAGGCACCAGTAGAGGAGACCAAGGCACCAGTAGAGACCATGGCACCAGTAGAGGAGACCATGGCACAAGTAGAGGAGACCATGGCACAAGTAGAGGAGACCATGGCAACCAGTAGAGGAGTGGCAACAGTAGAGGAGACCATGGCACCAGTAGAGACCATGGCACCAGTAGAGGAGACCATGGCACCAGTAGAGGAGACCATGGCACCAGTAGAGGAGACCATGGCACCAGTAGAGGAGACCATGGCACCAGTAGAGGAGACCATGGCACCAGTAGAGGAGACGAAGGCACCAGTAGAGGAGACCAAGGCACCAGTAGAGGAGACCATGGCACCAGTAGAGGAGACCATGGCACCAGTAGAGGAGACCAAGGCACCAGTAGAGGAGACCAAGGCACCAGTAGAGGAGACCATGGCACCAGTAGAGGAGACCATGGCACCAGTAGAGGAGACCATGGCACAAGTAGAGGAGACCATGGCACCAGTAGAGGAGACCAAGGCACCAGTAGAGGAGACCATGGCACCAGTAGAGGAGACCATGGCACCAGTAGAGGAGACCATGGCACCAGTAGAGGAGACCATGGCACCAGTAGAGGAGACCATGGCACCAGTAGAGGAGACCAAGGCACCAGTAGAGGAGACCAAGGCACCAGTAGAGGAGACCAAGGCACCAGTAGAGACCATGGCACCAGTAGAGGAGACCAAGGCACAAGTAGAGGAGACCAAGGCACCAGTAGAGGAGACCATGGCACCAGTAGAGGAGACCATGGCACCAGTAGAGGAGAACATGGCACCAGTAGAGGAGACCATGGCACCAGTAGAGGAGACCATGGCACCAGTAGAGGAGACCAAGGCACCAATAGAGGAGACCATGACACCAGTAGAGGAGACCAAGGCACCAGTAGAGGAGACCAAGGCACCAGTAGAGGAGACCAAGGCACCAGTAGAGACCATGGCACCAGTAGAGGAGACCATGGCACCATTAGAGGAGACCAAGGCACCAGTAGATGAGACCATGGCACCAGTAGAGGAGACCAAGGCACCAGTAGAGGAGACCATGGCACCAATAGAGGAGAGTAAACCAGTAGAGGAGATAAACACAGACCCAGAAGTGCATATAATATTAGTACTGGGAAAATACACCATCAAGGGGGTCCTGTAGCCTCACTATTCACTATCCCTCTACTCTACACGTATACCCAGTGCCCCCCCCTCACTATCTCTTCTACTCACTATCTCTCGTATCTCACCATCTCTTCTACTCACTATCTCTCGTATCTCACCATCTCTTCTACTCACTGTCTCTCATATCTCACCATCTCTTCTACTCACTATCTCTCGTACCTCACTATCTCTTCTGCTCACTATCTCTCGTTCTTCACCATCTCTTCCACTTACTATCTCTCGTACCTCACTATCTCATCTCACTATCTCTCGTACCTCACTATCTCTTCTACTCACTATCTCCCCTATCTCACCATCTCTTCTACTCACTATCTCTCGTACCTCACTATCTCTTCTACTCACTATCTCTCGTACCTCACTATCTCTTCTACTCACTATCTCTCATATCTCACCATCTCTTCTACTCATGATCTTCTCCTTGTCATGTCCCCCATCCCACCGTTTCCTCATCTTATCTCATCTCTCTCCCCCTCACACCTTTCTCTCTCATTCTCTCTTAATCTCTTATTCTTCTCTCTCTTCTCTCCTTATTTATAAATAGTGAAAATTGATAGTAATAGTACTGGTGGTGGTAGTAGTGGTATTTAGAAGTATTATTTTAGTTCACAAACCCAGCACCACAACACGTGACAAGAAGCACTCCACAACAGCCTTCTTGATCAGACACGGCAAAACAAGACACAGGTGAGCCTATTGGGAATCTTTCTCGCTGAGTTCACCCTCATTCATCATGAGTATTGATGGAATTGTGAGCATGAGGCATTCTCTCTCTCTCTCTCTCTCTCTCTCTCTCTCTCTCTCTCTCTCTCTCTCTCTCTCTCGCGCTCTCTCTCTCTCTCTCTCGCGCTCTCTCTCTCTCATCTTCTCTCTCTCTCTCTCTCTCTCTCTCTCTCTCTCTCTCTCTCTCTCTCTCTCTCCCTTGCCGAGGCATGAGACTGAGCGCCTTGTGTCATGGGTGCCAACTCCTGGTTGTCCACGAAGTTGGGCCAGGTGCGGAACTTTGTGAATATTGGCCTGTGAATCTTTCCACACCCCGACCAGTAGGCCAGAGTGTGTGTGTGTGTATTTACTATTTGTGCCTGCAGAACTGAGCTATTAGCTCTTGGACTCCGCCTTTCTAACCAATTTGTTTTTAATCTATTATGTCTACTACATATATTTCTCTCTCACACGCGCGCACGCACGCACACATCGTCAGGAAGCAGCCTGTTACAGCTGTCTAACTACCAGGTACCTATTTACTGCTAGGTGAACAAGAGCACCAGGGTGAAAGAAACTCTTGGTATATACACCCAGCAGCGGGGTATACCTCTCAGTATACACCCAGCAGCGGGGTATACCTCTCATTATACACCCAGCAGCGGGGGTATACCTCTCAGTATACTCCCAGCAGCGGGGTATACCTCTCAGTATACACCCAGCAGCCGGGTATACCTCTCAGTATACACCCAGCAGCGGGGTATACCTCTCAGTATACACCCAGCAGCGGGGTATACCTCTCAGTATACACCCAGCAGCGGGGTATACCTCTCAGTATACACCCAGCAGCAGGGTATACCTCTCAGTATACACCCATCAGCAGGTATACCTCTCAGTATACACCCAGCAGCGGGGTATACCTCTCAGTATACACCCAGCAGCGGGGTATACCTCCCAGTATACACCCAGCAGCGGGGTATACCTCTCAGTATACACCCCCAGCAGCGGGGGTATACCTCTCAGTATACACCCCCAGCAGCGGGGGTATACCTCTCAGTATACACCCAGCAGCTGGGTATACCTCTCAGTATACACCCAGCAGCTGGGTATACCTCTGGGTATACTCGGAACACTCAATGAATAAAATATAAACCCAAAAACATTTATAAAGCCATCAAAAGTATCTATTTACTCTATAAATATTAAACCTCGATGCTTCCGTCTAAATTACTAAATTTTAACATTTAAATATTTAAAAAAATTAAAATTCAATGTATATACAAATAATTCTCTCGCCTCGAAGGCTGCTTAGTTGACCTGACCTGCCAGAAGATCGTGGATCACGTGATCATGTCTCAACAACCCTCCAACACGAGACATCTTGGTAATTAAGAGGAGATGCTTCTTCAGGGTAACAAACCTCGTGGAACCGCCTACCCGCCGAAGCCCTAAAGGTTCACAGGCCAATATTCCTAAAAGTTCCGAACCTGGCCCAACTTCGTGGACAGCCAGAGTAGTTGGTAGTCGAAAACTCTGTTAAACTGTTAACTTGCAACTGGTGAAAAGATCATCAAGGTAAATTGGGGCCTTCGACAAGCCGCCGGCGTCCTGTCCTCGTCCAGACCACTGGTGTTAGTGAGGTAAATTCAGGTAAATTAACCCCCCCTTTCCACCACTGAGTGTTGCCAACGTGGTGATCACTACCCGGGCCCCAACGTCCAAAGAAAACGTATATTTGTGTTTGTCCAGAGAAAACGTATATATTTGGGTTTAGCGGCGGAGACCATTATATTTCCTCCGGCCCGTTTTAAGGTCCCTCGTTTTAATTCCCTTAATGGCGGGTCCAAAGGCATAAATTTTACCCCCTCAGATGAATTGAACGTGAGAATTGCATGCATTCATTTTTCCCTCTTAATTATCGTACTACTCGTGAGAATTACTGCCAATTTTTGACTAATTAAACAGTTACAAAGCCCTTTCTCTTTCACCGTTTCCAATTAGCGATTGAATTATTTATTTTGTGGCTAATTATTAATTAAAAATTTGAATTCACCAAACGTAATTCAAAAGCCTTGATAAAGATGCTGTAGCAAGACAACAGGAAGAATAATTAATCCGTTATTGACCTACATGTTTCAATCCGCTCTTCCCAACACTACATCGTATTATGGACGCATCTTTCCCCCTACGGCTAAAAACGGGTGTACTAAAAATCGCAGCATTAACGTTATATGTCCCGTTTTCTATTGGTGGTGAGTGTTCGGTTAGGTTAGGTTGGGTGGTTTGGCCAGTTTAATAAGTCAGTTTTAATGTTGTGCAATGATTGAGTGGGCTGGCTGGCTGGCTGGCTGGCTGGCTGGCTGGCTGACTGGCTGGCTGGCTGACTGGCTGGCTGGCTGGCTGGCTGACTGGCTGGCTGGCTGGCTGGCTGGTTCTCTTAGTCAAAATAAATTGCTTACCTTATCCCATAGGCAATAGGGAGTTACCCCTATCAACGCCTCGGGCGGGGCTGCCCCTGTCGCCTGAGTGACAGACATGCCACTTCAACAAGACACTGACAGACAGACAGACAGAA